TTGTTGTTGTTGAGACACGGAGTCTTGTTCCATTGCCCAGGCTGGAGGGCAGTGGTGCAGTCTCAGCTCACTGCAACCTCCACCTCCCGGGTTCAAGCAGGAACCTGCCTCAGCCTCCCAAGTAGCTGGGATTACAGGCACCTGCCACCATGCCTGGCTAATTTTTTGTATTTTTAGCAGAGACGAGATTTCACTATATTGGCCAGGCTGGTCTCGAACTCCTGACCTCGTGATCTGTCTGCCTAGACCGCCCAAAGCTTGGGGATTACAGGTATGAGCCACTACTCTCGGCCCCATACCTTCATTTTTCATGTTAAGAGAGGAAACATTTTTTCTTTTAGTGGCATTAAGGTTACTGTGGATTTTCAGGAATAAAAGTAAACCCAATGGAGGGAATATCTTTTCTGTGGCAGATGGTTTTTAATATATCGAGGTTTTGCCATTTGTTTTAGTGCTTAAAATAAACATTATTTATAAGACCACTTACATTCCGATGTTACTTAATGAGGAATATGCATCATTGATTTGACTAGCTTAAGAGGTCATTTAGAACTTGCCCGTTAACAAGCTGTAATCTGCTGAGCACACAATGACTTTGTTTAAAATTATCTATTCAGAGCTGATCAATGACAATAATTGTTTTATACCAATCACTTTTGAAAGTTGCTAATTACTTTGAAGGGCATGAATACAAGTCATTTTCTTTCTTTTTTTTTTTTTTTTTTTGAAGTAGTAACCCATTCACCTTGAAGTTAAGAATAAATGTTACCAAAAATAATCTTACCTCTTGAAAATACATTTTAAAAAATTAAAAGTGTGTTTACGAGTGTGGAATACTAACAGAATAGGCAAAATTTAAGATGTCATTCATTTCTGTAATAGGAAATATAGTAGAATCTCATCTATATTGTATTTTACAATATCAATTAGCTATTGGCTAAACTAGACTCCCTATAAGAAAATACCATATTTGAAACTACTTTCTCTTTTTATACAATATATATGTAAGATGTTTTAGCAGAAAGAGTGTGTGGGCTTTGGAGTAAGAGAAACCTGGGTTTGTATCCTGACTTTCCATTTACTGTTTTACTGGTTATGTGACCCTTAGCAAATTACTTAACCTCAGTTTCTTCATTTTTAACATGGAGATCATGCCCTATTCACAAGGATATTGTGAGAATAAAAGCAGTTAGCATAATACCTGGCACATTCATGGAGCTCAATAAATTTTAGATCCTTCATTTCACTGATGGCAGCTTCTTCACCCACTCAAATGCTGTTTCCTCCAGCTCTTTTACCCACTCATCTCTAGGAAAGCCACTTAAAGATTGATTGATTACACTTTAGTGTGGATGAGTTTTAATTTGTTACCTTAACCATCACTTACTTATTACATTCTTTAATGTCCAATTTTGAATAAAAGGAATTACCTTGGAGAGGAATTTTAGCCTGCCTTTGGAGAGATGTGTAGGGAGTCACGACATCCGAATGTTTTCTGAAAGCATACCAGTTGTAGTCTCTCTAGATATGGTTGGTGCTGTTTCCAGCAGTTGCTGGGTTTGGTGAAGGAAAGAGCCCAGGTTGTTGGATTTTTTTTTTTTTTTATAATTACAGGAAGCTCTTCTTATTTGAACACAAATCTTTCAGCCAATTTCAATTTTTTTCCTTTAACATCTCTTTCTCAGAAATGGGAATATTCAATTCTCTGATATTACCAAATCATAAACCCCCATCATTCTTCCTTCCTCTCAGTATGCCAACATGCATCTTTTGGGTTTTCTGGCACTCCTAATCTTATTTTATTTATAATTTAATGATATTTTCATGTGATAGCCCCTCCCTTAATACTATTTGATATCTTAATATTTTCCTATGCAACTTGAATCACTTCTATTGCTGATGATGTATTTCCTGTCAGTACATGTATTTACAAGTGTTCCCTTCATTAATAAAATTGTTACTGTATATGCAATAAAAGTATGCTGAAACATTTGAAGCCATCCAACCAACTATATGACCTTAGGCAATTAGTTAACCTCTCTAAACATCAATTCCCCCTTCTATTAATGAGGCTAATAATAATCTCCACCTCAGAATGATGCTGTAATGATCGAATTAGATAAGCTAGGAAAATATGCACTTATTTGCATGTATGATTTATGTATGTATACATATTGCAGTTGATTCTTTTCATTAGGAAAGTGGTTCTGTCAATTCCTTCTTTTTCTTTCTCAGCCATAATATAATATTTGTCAATTAGGGAGAGTTTCTAAATTGAGTCTATAATTTTAGAATTTTTTTTTAATTTAAAGAATTGACCTTGCAAATAAGATTATTTGAGAAGTATTTCAAAAGACGCTTTGAATACTTTTGTTACATTAGCTTTCTATACTACTAGTTTCATTTTCTAAAGTTGTTGGCCGGGTGTGGTGGATCACTCCTGTAATTCCAGCACTTTGGGAGGCTGAGGCAGGTGGATCACTTACGGTCAGGAGTTCGAGACCAGCCTAGCCAACATGGTAAAACCCTGTCTCTACTAAAAATACAAAATAAGCTGGGTGTGGTGGTGCATGCCTGTAATCCCAGCTACTCGGGAGGCTAAGGCAGGAGAATCGTTCAAACTCAGGAAGCAGAGGTTACACTGAGCCAAGATCATGCCACTGCACTCCAGACTGGGTGACAGAGAACAACTCCATTTAAAAAAAAATTAAAGTTATTGTCTATTATTTACTTGTTCTTACAAGCTGTTTTTCATATTTTCAGTTATTTTAGTAATTCTCATACTAGGAGCTTGACGAAAACACTCCCTTATAATTTTCATGTTTAATACCTTTTTTTTTCTTTTTTGAGACAGAGTCTCACTCTGTTGCCCAGGCTAGAGTGTAGTGGCACCATCTCAGCTCACTGCAACCTTCGCCTCCCAAGTTCAAATGACTCTTCTAGCCAACTAGCTGAGACTACAGGCGACTGCCACCACACCCAACTAATTTTTGTATTTTTAGTAGAGATGGGGTTTCACCATATTGGCCAGGCTAGTCTCAAACTCCTGACCTCGTGATCCACCTGCCTCAGACCTCCAAAGTGTTGGGATTACAGGCGTAGGCCAGGGTGCCTGGCCATGTTTAATATCTTAAATTGTAGAATGATTGTAAATGACGTTTTAAATGGCCATGTTTTAAAAGAGAGAGAAATAAAATGTATCAGAATTTAAGTAAACCATTTTTCTGGTTTACTTTTTATTGATCCAATATTCAACTTATACAAATGTTATACTAAACATTTTTTTTTTTTTTTGAGTTGGACTTTCACTCTTGTTACCCAGGCTGGAGTGCAATGGCGCGATCTCGGCTCATGGCAAACTCCGCCTCCTGGGTTCAAGCAATTCTCCTGCCTCAGCCTCTCGAGTAGCTGGGACTACAGGCGCACGCCACCATGCCCAGCTAATTTTTGTATTTTTAATAGAGACGGGGCTTCACCATGTTGACCAGAATGGTCTCGATCTCTTGACCTTGTGATCCACCGGCCTCGGCCTCCCAAAGTGCTGGGATTATATGCGTGAGCCACCGCGCCCGGCCTATACTAAACATTTTTTAGCTAAAAAAAAAAAAAAGTAGGCTTTGAGGATGAAACCCAATGGACGGGTGCTTAGTCTCTATATTTCACTTTCCTATTAAAAAAAAGTTTAGAGAAGATGTGTGTTCTCTTATCCTGGCAAACTGTGCTAAAATTGGGAAGACTTCATCTCCAAAAAGAGAATCATTTATGATACGTGAATCATTCATATAGATATTTAAACTGTTGGGAAATTTTAGGAAATGATGGTAAATCTTTACTCAAGACTAAGTTAATATTTTTCGATATGTGCTATTTCTTTTTTCTCTAATTATTTAAAGAACTTCAGATATTTTTTCTCTCAAATTAATATCATATATTATTTTGTTTGAGTTTTTCAAATAGTGGTATTAGAAAATATAGCAAAGATGTTCATATTACCAAAGATAGGATTCAAGAAGAGTGACTGATTCTCATGGTTACTGGGGTTGTATAAGTTAACTAGAAGCTGACTTAGGTATGGTCTCTCAGACCTCTGACGTTCCTCTCATCCAAAAAAAAAAAAAAAAAAAAAAAAAACCCTACTTTGATTGCATGTTCTAGTAAAAATAAAACTATTCGAATGTCAGCATTGAAGTAAAATATATAAGAAGCAGATTATTTCAATAAAAATGTTCTTTTTTGAAAATCACAGTTCTCTTTGTTCCCAATTCTGTATTGCAATGGTTATCAGAATAGGCTCTCTGAAGCCCTAATTTAATTCCTAGATTCATCCTAATAGCTGTATAATTATAGAAAAACTGTGTAACCTCTCTGTTTAACTGTTTCCACATCTGTAAATGACGTAATGAGTATTTATGTCATAGGAGTATTCTGAAGATTAAATACATAAATATAAGCAAAAACCCTTAGATTAGTGCCTGGCACATAAGAACTCAATAAACGTTATCTATTGTTGTTATTGTTAAGGAAGGATTAAAATGTCATAATCGAGATAGAAGAGTTTCTTTAAATATTTTGATGCCACTGAATTTAAGAAGCCCATTAATGAGACCAAATACAAAAACTAAAAGTGTTTTTCAATGAGACCAAATACAATCTTAAAGTCAGTTGGTTATGAAAAGAAAAAAAAAATCCATTTCCCCAGGAAGTGGAAATGGTAGGAATTTGTAAAGCAAATTTTGAAAAATCTTTCAATAGTTTAGTATCCTGTGAAATAATTATAAATAATTTAAAATAAATTATAATAGCCTAAATTTATGTTTATTTTATATTTCATAATAAATTTATGAGCAGAACCTATATTTATAACTAATATACTGTTAATAGAAAAGCCTAAGGCTTTATTTGATAGGAGTTAGCCATAATTACCTTAATTTTGAAGTGCTATTACATTTTTTAATAAAAATATTTAATGACATATTTTATCTTTTTATTTACTTTAATAGATTCAGAGACGATGGCGAGGCTACAGGGTTCGGAAATACCTCTTTAATTATTATTATTTGAAAGAGTACCTGAGAGTTGTTTCAGAGACCAATGATGCAATTAGGTAAGTAGTACAATCATCTGTTCACTAGGGAAAACTTCGGAAAGATAAGTCAATAGATGTTGATCAACGCCATACTTAGAAATACTTTCTAAAAGTCAGTGATATTTAGGCAGGCATTTATTGAAAATATATATATATATATATATATATATATATATATTTATGATACTATATACGTTAATGTATTATTATTATAGTTTTAAAATCCTGTATTCTTCACTGCAAATTAGTTATTTATGTGTGTAGTATCTTGGTCCTATACAAAATAGTTTCAGAAAAATTATTTCATAATGAGATGAATTTATCTGTAAAACGATTCTAGAGATGCAACATTAAATATGATAAGCTTCAGATGCATCTGAGAAACATGTTCCATAGCAAGACCTTGCCTCTCCGAAAAGAAAATATCATGAAACATATTAAAAGGGCCTGTTCACTGTCAGTTTTAATTTGTTTAAACACATAGGAAGATAGGACATAGATTTAGGATACAGGAGCTGTAGAATTATGCAAAGTAAAGGCATCATAATACTATTCAGCCAGCTTTTCCAAGTTCTGTATGTTTTCATGTTACTTTGTAAATAGTTTTTTCCTCCTGTGATAGGCCCCATTCTAATAACATGTAAATGACCATATGCATGTAGTACATTTTGATAAGAAGGAAATATTAATAATAGTTAGAGAATAGTCTCACTTTCAAAACATTTTCTACATATATTAGATATTATCTTATTTTACTTTTTTTTTTGAGATGGAGTCTCCTGTCACCCAAGCAAGCTGGAGTGTAGTAGCACAATCCTAGCTCACTGCAACCTCCGCTTCTGGGGTTCAAGCAATTCTTTTGCCCCTGCCTCCTGAGTAGCTGGAATTACAGGCATGAGCCACTATGCCTGGCTAATTTTTGTATTTTTAGTAGAGATGGGTTTCACCATGTTGGCTAGGCTGGTTTTGAACGCTTAACCTCAGGTGATCTGCCCGCCTCAGCCTCTCAAAGTGCTGGGCTTATAGGTGTGAGCCACTGAACCCGGCCACTTGTTTTAGTCTTTAAAGTCTTTGAGCTAAAGAGAACAATTAACTGACAGTAAATTATTAAAATAAAGGTTTTAGCTAAGATCCTAAAATAATATATATTGTAAGATATTTATGAAAACTGATTTCGCAACTACTAACTTTTTCACATATGTTGTGAGTAGAAAGGGGTCTGGTCTTTGAGGATTACCTGTAGAGAATTTGTTAAGTTCATTTCTTTGGAAAGCGAGCAGTTGAGGTGGGAAGGCTTCAATAGGATTTAGTCGATGGGAGAAGTTGGAAAATTCAGGAACACATGAACCATAGCAGACTGCTGTTTCATTTCTTCTTGAAACATCTACAGTTCTAAAGACCGGCTGGCTGTCTACAAATGGCTGACTTTAGTTTGTGAGGAGAAAGAGCTAGCAGAGTTTGCAAAAGAGAAGGATTATGTGCAGGGCTGGAACTAGGGTGAGACAAGTGAGATTTTTAAGGGAAGGAGGTGCTCACTGTCAGGGTCACACAGCTGTCAACCTTGAACTTTCATAACCCCAAGAGTGAGTATGTCCTTCAGTTCTGCACTTTAGGGGCCTCACTTGCTTCACTCTTGTCTGAGCCCTGAATAGGAGAAAGTCAAGGAGGCAAACAGGTGAAGATGTGGTTTTGGAAAGGTCTGAATCTTTTATTTGACAGGTATTTCTAGTAATTCTTGTTTTTCTCCTGATTTTAATAGGAATCTCTCTAGTCACTAGAGAGTCTGGTGTATCAGTGCTAACAATTTGTTTTACAGTGGTATTCTTTAGTATATTACAGAGCCATTCTATTATTTCTAGCTCTCTTAATGTTTTTTAAACCAGTAATGAAAGTTGACTTTAGCAAATGCTTTTGCATCATCTATTGAAATAATTATGTAGGATGCTTTTCCTTTTTTATATATTAACATGCATAGAGCTATATTCTATTAATAGGTGTACTAATATTAAACCATCGTTTATTTTAGGAATACATTTAACCAGGCCATTGTTGTTCTTTTGATTTTTCACTGAATTATGTTAATATTTTATATAGGATACTTACATCCTCTTCTGTAAATGTGATTGGTTATACAGTGGTTCTTCTTATCCATGGTTTTGTCTTCTGCAGTTTCAATTACTCATAGTACAGTATAATAAGATATTTTGAGAGAGAACAAGAGAAAGAGTGAGCGAGAACACGCATTTGTATGATCTTTATTACAGTATATTGTTATACTTGTTCTATTTTAGTTTTTGTTATTGTGGTTAATCTCTTAGTGTGCCTAATTTATAAATTAAACTTTATCGTAGGTATGTATGTATGCGAGGAAATGTAGTATTTGTAGGGCTCACTATTATCTGCAGTTTCAGCCAGCCACGAAGAGCCTTGGAACATATGTTCTGTAAATAACAGGGACTACGGTAATTTTCTTTCTTACATTGCAATTGTCAGATCCTAGTGCCAGGTTTTGCTACATTTATTGAATGAATTAAGTAGATTTTCTGATACAGGAATTACTATTCTTTGGAAGTTTAAAATAAATGCTTTATAAAACTACCTGGACCCAGAGCCTTTGGGGGAAGGTAAATCGTTAACATTTCCAAACCTTAATTCTGGTTTTTATAAATTTATTAGAGTCCATTTTCTTTATTTCCAGATAATTATTAGTTTATTGACATTTAAATATATCTAATGATATTTACAATATTTTAATTAAAATATGTACTTTAGTAGTTTTAGTCCATTTCTCATTATTTAATTTGCATATTTACTTGTTTAAATATTTCTCTCTTTTGTTCTCAAAATTGTTAGGCTTATCTATATTTTTTAGAGAAATAGCTCTCAGATTCTTTCTTTCAACTTATTTTTTGATTCCTAATTAAATATTTTGCTTTCATCTTTAAAAGACCCTTTATTTGTTTCACAAATAATACATGTCCCTTGTAGAAAAACTGAAAATATGGATAATGTAAAACAAACTAACAAAAAAACATCTATAATTTCATCGCTCAGAGATAAACACTATTAGCTTTTTTCTTTTTTCTTTTTTTGAATTTTTTGAGACAGAGTCTCATTCTGTCGCCCAGGCTGGAGTGCAGTGGCGCAATCTTGACTCACTGCAACCTCCACCCTTCTGGTTCAAGCCATTCTCTCGCCTCAACCTCCCGAGTAGCTGGGATTTACAGGCCTGCACCACCACACCCAGCTAATTTTTGTACTTTTAGTAGAGATGGGGTTTCCCTGTGTTAGCCAGGCTGGTCTCAAACTCCTGGCCTCAGGTGATCTGCCCACCTTGGCCTCCCAAAGCGCTGGGATTACAGGTGTGAGCCACTGTGCTTAGCCTATTAACATTTTTATGTATGTTCTTCCAAGCCACAGCCACTTATTCATTGTGTGACCTTGGGAAAATTCTTTAATTTCTCTTATTTTAAATCTCATAAAGTGGGGAAAATAATAGAATGACTATATAGGTTTATTATAAGCATAAATGAATCAGTATACGTAAAATGCTTAAACAGTGCCTGGTATATAATACGCACTTAATAAATGTTAGTTTATATTTTATTTCTATGCTGACACAGATGTATTTTATAAAATGGCTTAATACAATATGCTATTGTTGAACTATTGTCTTTCAACTTACAAAATATTTTGAACATTTTCATGTCATTAGCTATACCAATATCATTGTTCATAATAGCATTTATTTATTTATTTATTTATTTGCAGTGGAGTCTCGCTCTGTTGCCCAGGCTGGAGTGCAGTGGTGCAACCTTGGCTCACCACAACCTCCGCCTCCTGGGTTTAAGTAATTCTACCACCTCAGCCTCTCCAGTAGCTGGGATTACAGGCATCTGCCACCACACCTGGCTAATTTTTGTATTTTTAGTAGAGATGGGGTTTCGCCATGTTGGCCTGGCTGGTGTTGAACTCCTGACTTCAAGTGATCCACCCACCTTGGCCTCCCAAAGTGCTGGGATTACGGGCATGAGCCACCATGCCCGGCTCCATAAAAGCTTTTAAAATATTCTTTATTGTTAGAAATACAGATGTTCTAAATTTTTGCTATTGTTAACGTTGTGTTATTTTAGTACGACTACTAGTTAATATGGAGTTTCTTACAGTTCTTGCATTCAGTACTCTCTTTACTGCTTTTTAGTAATTAAAATGTTTAGGCCACAATTTGTTTCCATGTGTAATATTGTCTACATTTAATACATTTTTATATATAATGTTCTCATATTCTAATTGCATATTTTATATTCTCTTTGAAATTCATTTTTCAATCTCCAGTGGCTTGGCTTTTTCTTGTAATTTAAACATAAAACAAATTTATTTCTAGGTTTATTGTATTATAGTCAGAAAATATATTTGGTACAATTGTTACTTCAGGGAATTTATTGAGTTTTTCACCATATATATACAGTCACATACCACACAATGATGTTTTGATCAATGATGTGGGACATTTATGATGGTGGTCCCATAAGATTATAATACTGTACTTTTACTGTACATTTTCTATGTTTAAATACACAGTTACCGTTGTACTAGTTACATATAGTATTCAGTACAGCACCATGCTGTACAGGTTTGTAGCCTCAGAGTCAGAAGCTTTACTATGCACCCTAGGTGTATAGTAGGCCATACTATCTAGGCTGGTGTAAGTACACTCCATGATGTTTTCATGATGATGAAATTGCCTAATGACGGATTTCTCAGACTGAATCTCTGTCATTAGTTAAGCAATGCATGACTCTATTATTTTGTTTTAGGTATTCTCTAAAGGCAAATGCATAGATTTTGTTTTCTTACTGGAGCTAAGTTTTTGTATTTTAATTGAGCAATAAAATACTCTCATTATTATAACCGTTCAACTCTAACTTCTCTCATCTTGCTTTATGTTTCTGCTTTTTCTGTTTCCTTTTATATATAAATTATGATTTGTTACTGTGAACTTAAAAAAATATATACAT